TCTTTTGAGGATATATATGTATAATTTTTTTTTAACTGAGTAGAGTGCTGTGGTATCTTAGCTCACAACAACCTCAGACTCTTGGGTTCAAGTGATTCTCCTGCCTCAGTGTCCAGAGTAGCTGGGGCTACAGGCGCCTACCGCACATCTAGTTAGTTTTTCTGTTTTTAGTAGAAACAGTGTTTTGCTCATGCTCAGGCTGGTTTCAAACTCCTGAGCTCAAGAGAACCACCTGCCTTGGCCTCCCATAGTGCTGGAATTATTGGTGTGAGCCACCATGCCTGGCCCTTTAAGGGCCCTTAAAGAAATAATTGTAATATGAGGCAGTAAGAGCAGTGATATACCTCAGAACATAGAAATATCAAAGGATGGTTTTCACAAGATGGCACTGAAAGCAAAGAAGGAAGCGCCTGTCCCTCCCGAAGCCAAAACTAAAGCAAAGGCATCGAAAGCCAAGAAGGCAGTGCTAAAAGGCATCCACAGCCACAAAGAAAAGAAGATCTGTACCTCACCCACCTTCTGGCGGCCAAAGACTCTGAGGCTCCAGGGGCAGCTCAGATATCCTCGGAAGAGCCCCAGGAGAAACAAGCTTGACCACTACGCCATCATCAAGTTCCCCCTGACCACTGAGTCCGCCATGAAGAAGATAGAAGACAACAACACACTTGTGTTCATTGTGGATGTCAAAGCCAACAAGCACCAGATCAAACAGGCTGTGAAGAAGCTCTGTGACATTGATGTGGCCAAGGTCAACACCCTGATCAGGCCTGATGGTGAGAAGAAGGCATATGTTCGACTGGCTCCTGATTATGATGCTTTGGATGCTGCCGACTAGATTAAGATCATCTAAACCAAGTCCAGCTGGCTAATTCTAAATATATAACTTTTCGCCATTTAAAAAAAGAAATATCGAAGGATAGTATCCAACTCAAACTGCAGAAGCCAGTGGAGATGTAGTCAACAAAGGCTTCCTAGAGGCCAAAACCTCCAAGGATGACTGAGTTAATGGGCAGAAGAGGAGAATGAAGACTGAGCGGTCATCCCACAGCCAGACCGCGGAGGGGGTGCGTAAGGTGATACTATGCCTGTGGCATCTGACAAAACCAGGGTTCTTTGGAACTCTTAAGAGAATCTGAATTCTACTAGGATATAAAGTAGGATCCCGGAATTCTCTGATCTTGCCAAGTGGGGTGGTAGGAGGAGCCCCAGGAATATCCTAGAGGGCGTACACTAGGCTGCCTGGCAAACTCAGTTTCCCTCTTGCTGGTTAAAACTGGCCTGTTAGTTCTAGTCTTCTGGGCAGTGAATGAGTTGCTGGGCTTGGATGTCAGGCTCAGACTCACCTCTTCAGTGGAGCACAGCTTCATTATATTTATCAAGTAAATTGTGAAGAATACCCTATGCACTCATGAAACGGAGACCACAGGTGGTTAACAGGAAGTACCAAGTCACCTCCAACCCAGGGTTGTTGTGAATGGAACACTGACTTCCAGAAATAACGTTCTAAAATCTATTACAGTTCTCTCCAGTCCTTCATGATCATTAACACCTACCTTTTACTCTGAAGTTCTGTTTTGAGTTGTTGGCAGTGACTAAGCTTTGTTTTGTTTAGTGGCTGATAGTAAAAAAAAAAGAAAAAAAGGACTATTGTTAATATAAAATCATTATTTTTAAAACTAATTGCAATTGATTTGCAAGAAAATAAATAGTTTAGTATTGTATTTATCTTAATTTCTTATTCATTTAGTTCTGGCTTTAACATAACCAATTTCCCTTTAAACTTTAAATATCCTATAAAAACTTGGTGGAGCCCTTAAATGAATGCAACTTTTTTCTCCACAGATACAGGCTAGTTCCTAAGGTTTATTTTCCTGAGCAAATTCATGATGTTGTACGTGCCACAAAACATTTCCTGCAGCCAGAAATCCTACAGAAGTATATGGTGGACCCAGGCAGAATTTGCATTTCTGGTGACAGTGCTGGTGGAAATTTGGCTGCCGCCCTCGCACAACAGGTAACACCATTGCCTGTGGCAGGAGGGTACGGGGTAGGGGCCAATCTCCACTGCATGTGGCAGAGGCATCAGGTGGGCTGGGCCCTGGACAGCCCAGTCAGTCATGTGATTGCAGTGGCAGAGCTCTGAGATCTTGTAGAATTAGGAAGATCGGTCATTGAACTAAGTGTCCTCTCTGAGTCAGTTCATTGAGCTGTTTCTGCTCCTGTATTTTGGAAGAGTGAGACAAATTTATTCTCCCTAGGATGTCATTACATTTTGGGTCTTGTAGGGAACAAAATATTAAATAAGGTTCACATCTTATCTACTCAGAACACCCAGCTGTGCTCAGTGCCAAAAGATACAAGTGAAATGTTAACAGGAGTTTAAAAATCTAAGAAATTATGTACCCACAAAGGGTTCACTCAGAACTGAGTTGCAAACATCATACCTTTCTTAGTAAGCAGCTAGCAGTTTGAAAGGGATGGTGGCAATGAGAATTATTTATTTTGTATTTTATTTATTTTTTTTTTTTTGAGAGAAAGACTTACTCTGTCACCCTGGGTAGAGTGCTGTGGCATCAAGCCCATACTCTTGGGCTCAAGCCATTCTCTTGCCTCAGCCTTCCCAAGTAGCTGAGAATATAGATGCCCACCACAACACCTGGCAGATTTTTTTCTCTCTGTCTTTCTCACCTTCTCTCTTTCTTCCTTTCTTTCCTCAGAGTCTCACTTTCTCACCCTAGGTAGAGTGCCATAGTATCATAGCTCACAGCAACCTCAAACTCTTGGGCTTGAGCAGTCCTACTGTCTCAGCCTCCACAGTTCCTGGGACTACAGGCACCTACCACAACACCTGGCTAGTTTTTCTATTTTTAGTAGAGACAGGATCCTGCTCTTAGGTTGGTCTCAAACTCCTCAGCTGAAGCAATCCACCCACCTTGCCCTTCCCAAGTGCTAGGATTTCAGGTGTGAGTCACCGCACCAGGCCTAGTTTTTCTATTTTTAGAAAATAGAGATGGGTCTTCCCCTTGCTCAGGCTGGTCTGCAGTGAATATTTATTTTTTAATCAAGCTTAGTACCATGACTTATAGAAATTTAACATTTATACCTTTGAGAGAGTCAAAGTAACACCTTAAGATATTTCACAGAGTGTGGTTTCTATACAAGGAGCTATGCAAAATGAAACAATGTGTTTGCTTTCTCTTCTCCAGTTTAATCAAGATGCCAACCTGAAAAATAAGCTCAAACTGCAAGCTTTAATTTATCCAGTTCTTCAAGCTTTAGATTTTAACACACCTTCTTATCAGCAAAATGTGAACACCCCAATCCTGCCCCGCTATGTCATGGTGAAATATTGGGTGGATTACTTCAAAGGCAGCTATGACTTTGTGCAGGCAATGATTGTCAACAACCACACTTCTCTGGATGTGGAAGAGGCCACTGCCCTCAGGGCTCGCCTAAACTGGACTTCCCTCTTGCCTGCGTTGATTACAAAGAGCTATAAGCCTGTGGTGCAGGCCACAGGGAATCCTAGGATTGTCCAGGAGATCCCTCAGCTGCTGGACGCCCGTGCTGCCCCACTCATCGCAGACCAGGAGGTGCTACGGGACCTCCCGAAGACCTATATTCTGACGTGCGAGCATGACGTTCTGAGAGACGACGGGATCATGTATGCCAAGCGTTTGGAGAGTGCAGGTGTGGAGGTGACCCTGGATCACTTTGACGATGGCTTTCACGGGTGCATGATTTTCACCAACTGGCCCACCAACTTCTCAGTGGGCATTCGGACTAGGAAAAGTTATATCGAATGGCTGGATACCAACCTGTAAAGAAGTAAAACTTCTAGAAGGCTCCAACAAGCCCCTCTTGACCTCCTGTACCTGCTTAGGAGAAATACTCATTTGGCGGTTGACTAATCCTTTCTCCCAAACCCAAATCTATCTACCCCCAACTAACCCCTCCTTCAATTGCTTGTGAGTTATAGAGTCTGTATTCCCTGGAGACTTTACGATAATCTAATATTTTAAAATTAATTTGACTAATATAAGTACAAAAACATCTGACTTTGGTTCCTAGAGTGAGCCAGTCTGTTTGTTATTATTTTGGTCAACCAGTACTAATACCTTCAGCTACAGAAAGCAGAGCCAAGAGCTGGAAATAGCTCTGGGTCCTGGCTTCATCTAGATGCTCTTTCAGGAGAAATTTTTCCAGAGATGGATGATCTAATGATTTTTTTTTTTTTTTTGAGACAGAACCTCAAACTGTCCCCCTGGGTAGGGCGCTGTGGCATCACAGCTCACAGCAACCTCCAACTCCTGGGCTTAAGTGAGTCTCCTGCCTCCGCCTCCCAAGTAGCTGGGACCACAGGTGCCCATCACAACACCTGGCTATTTTTTTCGTTGCAGCCATCGTTGTTTGGCGGGTCTGGGCTGGATTCGAACCCTCCACCTTAGGTGTATGTGGCTGGTGCCTTAGCCAAGTGAGCCGATCTAATGATCTTTAATGACTCCAGAAAATACAGGCTCTTCTTCACTCGGCCAGAGCTCACCCAGGGTCCAGAGCAGCGCTAGGGCACACTTCCAGGTCGGCTCCCGGGACCAAGCACCCACTGTAGTTGAAGTAATCTGTTTCCTATGGGAATTTTGGCAAACTCTTTCTAACAAGAACCAATTTCTCAAAGGACTTTCTTCCTCTAGAATGTTAATTTTATGAGATATAGATGTATAGATGTCTGTAGGTACAGTTGGATTGTGATGATACCTGAGAGCACTTTCTGCCATCCTCATTGAAAACATCAGACTGCATGCGCCGAATACGTGCTCACCTTTAAGTTTCTGTAGTGTTTAGGTACGCCATCTTCTTAAGTAAGTCTTTTGGGAGCAAATTTATTTAGATTTAGAATAAAATTTCCATTACAGAAAAAGTAAAAACAGACAAAACAATCTCTTTTTCTTATAAAAATGTTTCTGGCATAAATTAGCCAAGAGCAATGTGTATATATTTGGCATAGTCAAAAAATATATTTAATGTTAGTTTTGAAGTATGAAAAATACCTTCAGAAGGTCTAGTCTATTCTTGAAAACATCTTTTTCACTTATATGACTTTAAAGTGGAGATATTTTGATAAAATAACAATGTATTGTTTATCTTTTTAAGTTATTTAATGATATATATAGCTAGACTTAGGATTTTTCAGAAAGCTGTCCATAATAAATGTTAAAAATAATGGTATTTAAAAATCTATTTTAGGGCTTAAAAATTGTTTAGAGTTACATCCACATGTAATTTTATAGAAAGAAATAGAATACTACTGTACATTAGGCATAAATGTTTTGGTGCTTATCTGCACATACAAGTTAAAATTAGAAACTAGGGCTGCAGCTAGTGAGGTGGTGTAAGGCTGTAATCAGTGGCTTAGGCGAGACACTCACTGCTCTGCTCCTTATGGCCCGAGGGACACAGGCTAGTATTCTCCGGGGCAAAGGGCAACATTGGCACCTGGTACCTACATCTTTCATTTTCTTCCTCCAGCCAGGCCCAGAAGTCCTAACAGCTCAAGTTATGTTCACATAAAAGTCTTTAACCCCAGTGGGAACATCTTTGGCATAGCAGGAAACTCCAGTTCTGATCTGCTCTCCTTCCTGCCACCCTTCTCTCCTCCAGCCATGCTCCTAGTGACCGCAGTGAGCAGCCAGCGGGCACCATGGAAGGAAGCAGAGCCTGTTCACTGCCTTGAAGAATGAGTATTTCCTTCTTCCATCAATGAAATAACAAGTGACAATTTTAGCATACTTAGTTTTTCATTTAAATTAAGTATTCTAAATGGCTGAGCTACTAGCTGAGCCAGTAGCATTTTATCTCCAAAATAGAAGCAAATACAGCTCTGTGTGTGTGTGCCTGTGTATATACAAAAATAATCATTCAGGCTAACTTGCCTATGTGCTTTTGCAAGTCACTTGCCATCTCCGGCTGCTTTTCCCTTTCCTCTGCAATCAAAGAGCTGAATTACTTGATGATCTTGAGGTCTTTTCCATCCATAAATTCTGAATATTTTGTCAGATTGGCAAATTATATTGGCCCCTTCTCCTATGGTAGTTTACACATGTATCATCGAAGATTTTTTTCCTAAAAAACTGGGATTTTAGTTCTCTTGCATGCTGATAGCTTCTCTCCTTATACAATGCTATTCTTTTTGACACTATTTGAAGAAACCAGTGTTTGGACCTTATCTTGAAGTCATCTACCTCTAAGAAAGAGAAAATATAATATATGCACAGGGTTCCTTAAAATAATGTTTTTTCTCAGAATTGTGAGCCAAATCCTCTAGTAATTACAGATAACAGATGATTCCAGATCTCTAAAAGGCTCTCTCAGATGAGAAGTGAGTGAGGGAAAACAGGGGTCAACCACTGTTTCTGATAAAATACTTGAGTTTTATTCTTTTAGCTTTTATTCCTATAAAAAATGTTTATGCTTTGTGATAGGTCACTTTTAATATTATGGCTTTGTTTTGTTTATTCTGTGACAAAGTTGGCAGTCATTTTTGTAATATCACTGTGAATTATGAACATTAATATAGGATGAAAAAACCTTGATGTGACACACAGTACAGTGAAGTGTGGATCTTAGTGCTTTATCATTGACTTGTTAAGAACTTAAGACTTGCATAATTATCTTGGTGGCTATAATATTTTATGCATGACCTTTTAACCTTTGACTTAGCTTATTTCCCACTGCAAAGGGGAAGGCAGATTTTATGAAGGATTTTAGCAGCAAATATATTTTATAAAATGAAAATCTGGTGTGGAAATAGGAAAGTATGTATCTGTTTTGAATCAAGTTTGAAATAAAATGGCTGCATCTGGGAATGTGCCTTGTTTGTTTTGCCTTGTCCCATTTTCTAGGCTCCATTGCAGACAGCACTGTCTTTCTTTGGGCGTCCCTACTCAAATCTTCCCCCTGTGGGAGCACTCCAGCCATCTCTCAGTCACTGATGGGCTCAGTGGCCTCCTTGAAGATACTCACTTCTTGTCTGGACACAGTATGTGTTGTCCTACCCAAGGAAACCTGCTTTGGACTGGCTGAAATAGTCATAAGAGCCAGGCAGGCATGGCCTATTGGGCATTCAGTGCACATTAGAAAAGGATGATTGTAACTCTGAACCATTTCAGCCAAAGAAGTATCGATATCACTGAAGGTAAGCTCTCTGTCATCACTAACAAATCTAATAACTTCACACTTGAGTTTATTACACTTAGTTTATATCAATATCATAGGATTTACTTTCTTGTAGAGTAAATTGTTTGTGTTGGTTCTAAATGGTCTTATACGTGTACAGGTGTGTAGATCAGCTTTTCCTATTCAATTATGGTTGTGCTCATCTTTAACAAAACCTCTTGGTATGTGACTGCACTTGGCTGGTAGGATCTGCTAACAGTTCCAACAGTTTTCCTTTGGGGCATTCTAAATGTAAACCCTGTTTTAATATTGTTTTCTTAATGAATTTTCATTGTCTTTTTTTATCTCCTGTGTTTTTTGCCTGACAATATCTCATATTTCCTAATAGACGCCTATATTTAAACATCTAGAAGATACTGATATCAGTATGAGCGTCCCTAAGGCCCAAAGACTGGGAATGTAAACATGACTTCTAATAAGCTTGTTAGAGGATGGCTCAGCCTTGGCACTCAGGACAGTGTGAGAAGCTGCTGACCTCATTTGCACATGTCTTCTGTTTGGAAGACTCCTCTCTAAGACATTCTCAAGGCTGGCTCATTGTTGACATTTCAGATTAAATGTCTGCTCTTCAGGGACCTGCACCTCTGTGGCCAGAGGGTCTGCCCAAGCTCACCCCCCAGCCCTCTAGGTACCACTCCCCGCCCAGCCCAGGCGCTCTTCACCACTCCTTACTACCACTGTTTCCTGGCTCACTTCTCTGCAGGGAATAGTATTTACTTGATGATATGCATGTTTTCTGGTTTCCCCATACTTAAATGTGGGCTCTGAGGGCAAGAACTTAGTCTTCCCCCTTCCTATTTCCTCACCACTCACAGCATATAGTGGACTTTCGAAAATTATACATATATATTCTTTATTTCAGATTTACATAAGAGTACAGTTAGGTTACATTGTTTGCATTTGTCATGTAAAGTCCAAGTTGTAGTTGAGCCTTCACCCAGGTGTGCCACGTACCCCTACATTGTGCCATTCAATCTCCTCTCTACTCCCCTCTTTCTACTTTCCTCTCCCCCCACCCCACACTCCCCTTATTTTTTCTTTTTGTTCTTTTTTTTTTTTTTAGTAAGTCATAACTGTGTACATTAATGCACTTACAGGGTAGTGTGTGCTGATTTTATATACAGTTCAGAATGCTTACACCAAACTGGTTAACATAGGCTTCACCTCACTTACTTAATTGTTGTGTTAAGACATTTATACTCTCCTCTTAATAGATTCGACATGTACCCTTGCATCATGCACAATAGGTGAGGTCCCACTGATTACCCTCCCTCCACCCGGCATCCCCCCCTCCCCTCACCATTCTCTTCCCTCCTTCATTCTGAGCTATAGTTGTGTTTTATCATTCATATAAAAGTGTGGGTGATTATATATTGCTTTCATATTAGTACTGAGTACATTGGATACTTTTTCTTCCATTCTTGAGATACTTTACTAAGAAGAATATGTTCTAGCTCCATCCATGTAAACATGAAAGAGGTAAACTCTCCATCCTTTTTATGGCTGCATAATATTCTATAGTATACATATACCACAATTTGTTAATCCATTCATGGGTCTATGCACACTTAGGCTGGTTCCTTGACTTGGCAATTACGAATTGGGCTTCAGTAAACATTCTGATACAAATATCTTTGTTGTAAAATGATTTTTGGTCATCTGGATATATACCTACTGTGTTTCCCCCAAAATAAAACATACCCAAAAAATAAGCCCTAGCAGGATTTCTATACATTTGTTAAATATAAGCTCTACTCCAATAATAAGACCTAGTGATGGGCATGGCTATGCAGCGTATCTGGATAGCCACACCATGCATTTCAGCGCAGAGAGGAAGACATCCCCTCAAAATACGCCCTAGTGTGTCTTCTTGAGAAAAAATAAATATAAGACAGTGTCTTATTTTGGGGGAAACATGGTAGTAGAGAAATTGCAGGATCAAGCAGCAGGTCTACTTTTAGTTCCCTGAGTGTTCTCTAAACTTTTTTCCAAAAGGAACGTATTAGCTTGCATTCCCACCAGCAGTGCAGAAGTGTTCCCTTCTCTCCACATCCACACCAACATCTGTAGTTTGGGGATTTTGTGATGTGGGCTACTCTTACTGGAATTAGATGATATCTCAAAGTGGTTTTGATTTGCATTTTCTCTGATGATTAAAGATGATGAGCATTTTTTTCATGTGTCTATAGGCCATGCGCCTGTCTTCTTCAGAGAAGCTTCTATTCAAGTCTTGCCCACAGTAAAATGGCATCACCTGTTCTTTTCTTATTTATTGGTTTGAGCTCTCTGTGGATTCTGGTTATCAAATAACCTGCAAATATCTTCTCCCATCCTGAGGGCTGTCTGCTTGCTTTATTTTCTGTATTCTTGGCTGTGCAGAAGCTTCTTAGTTTGATCAGATCCCAGTAATAAATTTTTGGTGTTACTTCAATTGCAAGAAGGGTCCTTCTCATAAAATATTCTCCCAGACCAATTTCTTCAAGTGTTTTCCCTGCCTTCTTCCCAAGTATATTAATAGTTTCATGTCTTAATTTTAAATCTTTTATCCAGTGAGAATCAATTTTTGTTAATGGTGAAAGGTATGGGTCCAGTTTCAGTCTTCTACAGGTCGCCAGCCAGTCCACCCAGCACCATTTGTTAAATCAACATTGTTAAAATGTTCATACTACCAAAGGCAATATACAAATTTAATGCAATCCCTATTAAAGCACCACTGTCATACTTTAAATATTTGGAAAAAATAGTACTTCGTTTTATATGGAATCACAAAAAACCTTGAACAGCCAAGACATTACTCAGAAATAAAAACAGATCAGGAAGAATCACGCTTCCAGACTTTAGGCTATACTATAAATCTACAGTGATCAAAACAGCATGGTACTGGCACAAAAATAGAGAGGTAGATGTATGGAACAGAATAGAGAACCAAGAGATGAACCCAGCTACTTACC